TGTCTGCTCTCTGCACAGCAGGTGCTCAGAAGCCTGGACCTTGGGGCCAGACTGGCAGAGCACTGTCCCTCAATGCCTCTGGTAACCTTGTGTAAGCTGCTCAACATCTCAGAGTCTCAGTTACTTACTCTGGAAAGTGGGGCACCATGAAGATGTGGCAAGGGAACATGGGGACTGTGCTCAAGGCTGCTCTTGCTGGGCAGCTTTCTCCCCACCACCAGCCCATCCAGGGGAGGTGTTCTGGAAGCCAAGTTCTCCTACTCCTGGACCCCCCTGAATCTGGCCAGAGCCAGTGTCACTCATGATGCCAAGCCTTGACCTTTGTGGACACATGGCTCTGAGTCCCACAGGAGTGCTGTGGAGAAGGGGCAACGGAGTTTCCTACCGGAGTTTATACAAGTGTTTAAACAAACTCAGCAGAACTTTAATCGGACCATGAAACACACTCAGATCAATGTGCAGCGTCCTGGCCGGAAGAACAGGAGCCTGCATGTGTGCGGTATTGGCACCCTGTTCCGGGGCAGATGCGCAGGAGAGCAGTGGCACTGTGGTGAGCTGAGTGCTATTCTGATGCTCCATACTACCTGTCACCTCGTACTCTTCTTCCCTCCCTCCCCACTCACAATGAGGGCTCTGAGAAAACTGAAGCCACAAAACCACAGAAGCTCTGGGGCTTGCCTTCCTGGCTCTGATTCCTAGATCCTAACTCCCAGACCCTTACTCGGCACTCCGTCCCCTACTAGACTGAGCTTCGCCAGAGCCAAGCCTGAGGTCGGAGGTTGCTGAGTATCTGGCAGATGGCGAGCGAGTGCACCAAGGGCGGAGAAGGAAGTCTGAGCCTGCCTCTCTAGGCCTCCAGAGAACTCTCCGGCCCCACTGATGCTGGTAGATCCTGAGAAGAAATTCTTCACTGGGAACCTTCATCCCCAAAGCAAAGTCTTCTTGGAGCATAAATACGTCATATTTTAAAGATAAGAGAGCTAGTGTGAGAGAGGGAGAGAGGTGGAGGGACCGGCTTCTGGGCAACCAGGCACCGCCAGGGGCAGCAGAGGCCAGGGCTGGCCCTCATGGTCTTGGCTGTGAGCCAAACCAAGGGTAGCCAGCACTTGCTGGGCCAGGGGCTGGGCAGAGGGATCGGCCAGGACTCAACAACTCAGGGTCTCCTCTCATTTAATAAGGACAGGAAGCAGCCTGGGTGTGTCCCCAAATCAAACCTGAGTTCTAAAGACCTGGAGAAACGATCTACATGTGTCCTACCTCTAGGGGCATGTGCTGTACTTGCCGCCAGCACTTCCCTGATGGTACCCTCTGGCCACAGAGGGATACCTGGGCCCCTATTACAGGAAACAGACCCAAAGAAGCAGGAGTGATTGCAGAGACTGCACAGAGAGTTAGAGCTGGGAGCCTGGGACAGCTCTAGAGTCTCAGGTAATATGTGCTGGCATCTGGGAAGTGGGGCCACTCGGAAGGCTCAGTCCATGACCTTGTTTTTCAGCCAGCAGTCTGAATTGACCCTGCCTGACTCCCCTCATGCATTAGCTCCATGTAAACAAAACCAGCCTGTGTGCCCCGCCCCACCTTGTTTTTGGGAGGCCCCAGAGAGCTAGACAGGCATTAGAGGAATCAAGTGACACAAGGGAATCTAATTTGCAAAAGGCTCTGGATCCATCACTCTCAGGAGCCACAGAATCAGAGGTCACTTGAGTGCAAAACAAGCTCAGTCCTAGCACCTCCAGGCAGGCTCTGATCTTGAGCTATAACAGTCTTTATTGTAGTAAGCAACTGTCACAACTACAGAGAGGCTGTTATGGTTTGGATGTGAGGTGTTCCCAAAAGCTCATTTGCAAGACAACACAAGAACCTTAGTGGTGAAATGATTATAGATTATGAGACTTAACTGATCCACTGATATAGATTAACTGGGAGGTTAATGGTGGCAGGCAGGGAGGGTATGGCTGGAGGAGGCAGGTCTGGGGGTGTGCCTTTGGGGTTTATATTTTGTCCCTGGTGAGAGGAGATCTTTCTGCTTCCTGGTGGCCAGGTTCTGGGCTGCTTTTCTCCTATACACTTTTCTGCCATGATGTTCTGTCTCACCTTGGGCCTGAACAATGGAGTCATCATCTATGGACTGAAAGCTGAAACTGAAAAATAAATGAAATAAAATTTCTCCTATTTCTTGTTAGGTCTTTTGGTCACAGCAATAAAAACGCTGATTAAAGCACAGGCTCAGAGAGGTGGGCAAGCTGCCAGGCACCCAAGTCCCTGTCTTTTCCCGGGCATTGATGAGCAGGTGGTCTGTGTCCAGTGAGCTCGTCCTGAGCCCTGGCCCCTCCACACAGCCTCTGCCACAATGCTCCTGCTTATGCTTTGGGAGGCACCAAAGAAGTTCTCTGTGTTTTTTGTTTTTCTCTTTTTGCTTTGTTGCTCAGATTTACAAATTGGAGATTCCACCAAAGATCCTAATGAAAGAAATGTCTTCTTGAAACTAACAGTTAATGCAGAGAGGGGTTGAAGCCCCCACATCTGTATTCTGATTAAATCTGGATTTCTGGTTTCACTTAAAAATCAGGATATGGTCCCCCAGGGGCCTTTGGGTAGAGTGATCCACATGCCCAGGGTCACACCATACTTCAGCCAGTGCACAGTTCACCTGAGGCCCAGCCCCTGGTAGTTCCAGAGCCTCCTAGATCCCTCTCCTCTCCCTATGGCCTAATTTCTATAGTCTTCAAAAGCTCCCCACGGCTGCCCTATGCACAAAACCAAACTCCTGCCCACGGCCTACCAGCACACCGGGGCTCAGGCCCCTCTAGCACCCTCAACCCGGGCTCTTCTCCTGTTGCTCACTGCTCTCCACCATCATGCATGCCTTTTATTCTGCACAAGGTGACTTCCCACCTCAGGGCCTTTGCACAGGCCCTGCCTATATACTGCCCCTAAACTTCCAAGTGGTGCTTTCTCAACATTCCATTTCTGCACAAATGTGGTCTCCTCTTTAAGAAGGAAGCTCTGGCTAATGTGTCTCACTACCTGTTTCTTTCCTCAGTAGTCTTACGTCCTGGACAGCGAGCCCCATAGCAAGAGTGCCTGGGCTCCCCTCCAACTCTGTCTTCCTAACCTGACTGGCTTCCATTTCCTCTCCATCAACAGGGTTGAGCCCGCCTCCCTTGAGGGCAGCTGGGAAGCTGGAGCATTCAGCCTCACAGCAGTGGAGCAGCTCCTGATGGGCTCCCCACACCAACAACTCCCCTGACTGCCCCTGCCGACACCTCAGCCCAGTGATGCCGACTGGCCAAACAGGTCCCTGTGACAAACAGGCCCTCTGGTCTCTTGCTTGTGTCTTTCCTGCCCATCTTATTTTAACTGGGGGTCTCAGTTCCCTCCAGCATCTGCCAGGGAGGAAGGTGCTCTTCAGAGGAACAAGCACACACCACCTGCGTGTGCTAAAAAGGTGCTCAGGAGCCTGGCCTCAGGAGTGTCACAGCYACCAGAAGCAGTCACCCTGGGGAAGCCCCTTCCCTGAGGAAAGCTGGACTCTCCCTCCCATACTCCTTCTCCACAGACATGCTTCTAACACGTCTCTAATGCCAAGTTGGACTCCATCGTGGGCAGCTCCACCCTACAGTGCCACAGCCGGGGTCTGGAAGGTGCCCAATGAACTGCTGCCAGCCCAGACGTGCCCATGGGCCTGTGGGGTGGCTGTGGGCATCTGCATGATACYGGTGCAGCAAGGACCTGGGAGCCATGGAGCTCATCTTTTAGGTCCTCCTGGGGACTGCCAGGTCAGCAACCAGTATGCCTGACTTGACTGTGAAGAAATACCAGAACAAATAGATTCTGAGACGCTCCCTGAGGCATGAGTGCTCTGTCGCCGAGCTCTGCACTCTGGATGCTTTCGCCTTCACCTTCTCAGGACAAGACCTTTCCTAACAAGACTACACCCAGGTTCCCAGAGAGCACCCAGGCCTCCTGCACCCTCCACTGGATGCAGGTCTCCTTCCAGCTCCGACACTGCTGGTCAGCACCATGGGCCTGTTTTGTGGACGAGGCTGCGGCTCAGAGAAGTTCAGAGAGTTGCCTGAGGAACGGCAGGGATGGGGTGGGGGCTGCGTTCTGGCTGGTCCAACGTGGCCCTCTCTGACCCCTGCCTTCTGTGTGAGCCACTCCTTGGGGTCTGGTGTTAGAGACAGCCCACGCCCTGGCCTTGGGCTTCCAGCCTCCTGCTTGAGGGTCAGTGATGGGGAAGGGGCAGTGGGACTGGCCTATCCTTTTCCTCACATCTTCCTTGACCACTCAGAACAGCCAGGCCTCCAGAGCCTTGGCTCTGGCCACTGCCTTCCTGACTGGCTCTGGCCCACAGCCCTACCAGGGACTCTGGCGCTTACTTCTGTCTTAGCCAAGAGAAAATCCCCTGTCTTTGCACATAAGGCCCCTCTCCCTGGGAGCTTGTCCTACAACCCACTTTCCTAGGCCCAAACTTCAGGATTTGATCACCAGTGCCCTGACATCTAGTATCTCCACGTGCTGGGTTTGGCTTGTGGCCAGGCTCTGTCCCAGGCTAGGCCTGCTCCCCCTCTGGCCAGAATCTTTCCTGGTCCCTCTGCACCTCACAGGCAGGCCTGCCATGCCACCTGGCCTCCAGAGGGCAGCAGGCTCCAATCACAAGGATATTCAGCAGGCTGGTACCCCAGTGAGCATGCAGACTCAGAGACAGGAAGATGGCGCAGCCTATAGACCTCGAGCCCCCTTTGGAGAAGGGGATCATATTTGCCATTTGTGTCCCCTTGTCTCCATACACACACAGTGGAAATCCCAACAACCTGGTGTAGTGGCAGAGGAAAGAAGCCCAGAAGGTTTCCAACACCAGAAGCACAAGACAGGCCACCTGACCAAACTCCCTTGACTCTGGGGCCCCTGGAGTGCACATGTGGAGAGGGAGATTCTGGGGGCCGCCTATTTCTGTGGGACTGGCGGTGTGCCTGCTCGGAAGAGGCTGTACTCACCATTGGAGCGGTGGATGCAGGTGTGCTGGTTGTCACTGAGGAAAAAGCCACTGTGGCACTGACACTCATAGCTACCCATGGCATTGACGCAGATCTGCTGGCAGCCACCATTGTTGTCCTGACACTCATCCACGTCTGTGAGAAGAGGAAGAGAAGGCAGAGAGAGATCACCACCTGAGATGGCGGGACACTGATGCCACCGATTTCTCTAGACTGTGCTGAAGGACCCCCCGCCAGGGAGGACTTTGGTGCTGCCAGAGGGGCACCCCTGGGCGTGCTGCATGGTGGAGCTCACATGGGGGTATCCAGACACATGCCATGGCATCTCCGAGGCACTCCATGGTGCCACAGTTACACTCAACAATGGTGCTCTCCAGAGTGACTCCACAGAAGTAGTCAGGGACAACAGCTATGAGGCGGCGGACCCTAGTGGTTTCCTGGGTGCCTAGCACAGCTCTGTGTCTCCCCCATATCAATCCCTCTAATCTCCCAGCAACCCTGCAGCCATGTTTGTATATTAACCCATTTATAGTTGATGAAATGAGGGAGAGAGAGGCAAAGTCACTTGCCCAAGGTACCACCTGGGATTCCAACCTAGCAGACTGACTCCCAAACCCTGGCTCTCCCTGACAGCACTGGATCCCCCCTCTCCAAGACGATGCAGCTCAAATTGTCTCCCACAAAACACAGAGCCTCGCCGACCACAGACGGCCATCACCCCTCTGCAGCCCTCCTCAAGTTTCCAACCAGCTGCACAAGACCCTGGAGCCAAGGGGAGGTTGGGGCCAGGGTGGCCTGCACCACCCTAAGGTCCAGGCTGGCAGATGGATTTTAAAAGCCCAGAAGGTGGGGAGGATTTGAAAAGACTCTGACCTCTGGCTGCTGGGACTGTCGGGGAGGCTGCTGAGAGGTCTGTGCCACCCCGGGAGGGAGGGAGGACAAACCTCAGTGCCGACACTCATTTTTGACCAGAGGCTGCTGGCACAAAGGGTGTGACTGGCTGAAAAGAGTCTTTATGGAGCTCTGGTCTGGACAGCAGCATGTTTCAATTACCGGAGCCACAGGCCCGGCTCTGTCAGTTTGTTTAATGAAAAAAGGGCTTCTTAAACCTTAATGTTCCATGGCTGTATTGTCATTTTAATAGGCAAATATATAAAACCACAATGACAATGTGAGCTACTGGCTGCTTCTAGCCAGTCCCCCATGCCCAACACACACACTCACACGCATGCACACATGCACACACATGTATATAAGCACACGCGTGCACATGTACTTCAGCACTGAGGATTTCAGACGGTTCTAACACTGACATCGTTCACTCCTGGGACCAAAAGGATGTGAGAAAGGGAAGAGGCCGGCAGAGTGACCTTCCATGAACCTGGCACAGCGCAGTTCTGGAGCAGTGTCAGCTGGATCCTATTTAGGCCCTCGGACAGCAGAGCACTTTACCACCCAGGAGACCGCGGCTGCCTTTGAGGCCCTAGGCGAGGCTTGTCATTATTCTCTGGCAGGCTCAGATGTCAGCCGTGTGGCAGCCAGAGGAGGGAAGCAGAGCTCTGAACTCTAAAAGTCACCAGGGGTTGAGGCGCAAATGTAAAGGCGGCTCTTGCTGAGAGGCGCGGCGTGATCAGACCCTGAGCCTGACAGTCTGACCCGGGGAAGCCCGGAAGGAGGGATGGGGATTCATTTTTTCAAAACTTTTCTCCACACAGTCTTGCTGATGGCTCTCTGCAGGCTCAGTGCCAATGGCACCTTTACTGGGGCCAGGCCTAAGGTGCGGTGAGTGGCCGCCTCCCCTCCACATCTCAGTGGCATTGGCCTTCAACCTGCACATGAACAGCTCTAGGCCTGACACTTTGTCCTCCTCATCTCTTAATAACACAAAGCTCACCTCCCCTGGGAGTCAGTATGTGTCAGGTGGAGGCTTCACCAGGCCTCCCAGCATCCCATGTGACACATCTTGTTACTGATGAGGACACAAAGGCTCAGAGCTAAGCCATGAGATGGGCAAAGTGAAGGCAGGACTCAAGTCCAAGGTCTACTGTGCATGTGTTCAGACCAATGCTATGAAGAAATGGCTCTCTTCCTGCAAGCTTGAACCTGGGTGCCAACCTGAGCACATGGCTGTCAGTTCCAGGGCAGCTGGCTACAAGTAGTACTGAGTGACTCAGCAGCAGCACTGGCCTAACAGGACCCTGGAGGCACCTAGCCCGGGTAGGGCACATACCTAGCCATGGGCCTCTGCAGTTGGTTGCTGCCTGTCTTCCTGGGGCTCTCAGGCTCTCTGCCTGGTGTCCTGTCTTCCCCACCCAGGGAGAGGTTCAACTGAGAGGCAAACAAAGTAGAGCCAGATTCCCCAACGCTGGACTCGGTGCAGAAATGCTGCTTTGCCCCTGGAGCCACCCATCTGCAGCCATCTGGCCTGGCCCAGCTCTGCACCTCACTGAAAGCACAAAGGGCAGTTGACGTAACACATCTACAAACCCTCAGTGACCTGGCAGGGTGGCTGGCCTTAGGGACATGGCTGTTTACACTAGCAGGGAACAATGACTCGCCAACACTGATGAATAATTTGAAACAAACGCAAGGCCATGTAAACATTTCTCTTCCTCACTCCCAAATGATAAAGCCCGAGATTAAGCAGGCGGGAAGAGGGGCTGCCCTTCTGCACCCTTTCCACTGTGTCCAAACAGGCCTCACCCTGCACTCCCTAATAGGGCTGAAAATCATGAATGCCGAGTCCCTTCAGGCCTGGGGTCCCCCTCACACCTCTTGCACCCCAAGTCTTTAGCCCTCACAAAGGACCACAGTGAGGGCTAGAGGGCAGCCAGCTGGGGTATCTGAGATTGTGAGATGGCTGCCCACCAGCAGGGGCAGACTGGACACTGGGAGGCCCCTATCAGGCTTAGCAGGGCACTGTGGGAAACAGTCTTTGGCTCTGACAAGTGAGAATGGGGGAATCAGCGCACCCTGCTTCATGGTCCCCCAGCACTTGGAGCACTCTGTATGAGAGGGGTGCTTATGGAGAGAAGGGGGCCCACACCTGGGAGTCAGGCCCCCAAATTCTTCCCCTAATGCCTAAAGGCCCATGGGCAGTGCCCAGGCCTTGTCTGCAGGAAGTGCTCCAAAGCTTGGGGACTGCAAATTGTCCTCCGGAAGCTCTCCAGGAGGGCTGTGGCATGAGCAGGCTCTTTCCTTTCTGCCATAAATTAATTGGCTGTTGCCAGCACTGATGGGCCTGGGTGGCTGCCCCTGTGTGGGAACCCTGTCCACCCTATGCCCATACTCAGAGGTGAGCTTAGGGCTGGCTGGGTGCACTGTGGCCTCATTACCCCACACAACAGCATGCGCTGCCACCAGGCCCCAGCTCAGGGCTCGGGTGCTGGTTCGCGAAAGCACACACCGCCCCACGCTAGGGGTAGAGTTCTTACTGTTCCTGATTCTCAGAGAACATGGATGCACAGAGAGGGGAAGAGACTTGCCCACGGCCCTGTAGAGGCAGAAATGGGATTCAAAGCCCAGTGGGCCCATACAGAGCGGATGAGAAAGTGTCCAGGCCAGTCATGGAGGAGCAGGCTGCCCAGGTGACAGTGCTAATTGCCCTCCCCTGTCCCTAAGCACTCATCTTTCCAGAACCCAGCAAGACCCTTCTGTGACTTCTTCCTAGGACTGGCAGAATTCATCCTCCCTGACTCCCAGGTCAGGTGGCATTGTTTTCTTCCTCTGCCTGGACCATAGGACCTGGCTGTCTAGTCTCTGCCCTGATGGGGACAGACCTGCATCTCCTTCATATCCCTGCTCACAGCAGAGAGGCAGGCTGAGGTGGGACATGACATGGAAGGTCTGTGCTGGCATATGGCGGGGCCAGGGGCTCACTCCCCGCAGGCAGGCAGCCTATTGCAGGGGAGCATGTCCTGGCTCCGGGGCACACACAGGGGTGCAGTTTAGGCTACCACAGCCTGCTCACTGTTCCAGATTCTGTTCTCTGAACACATCCCCCGGTTCACACGTGCCCGAGTTCATATGAACGCCTGCCTACCGCCTTAGTCCCTCTTGCCAAAGTTTTTTTGCCCTTTTGAGTCCACCTTCAATGTCTCTATTTGTTCATTCAGGAACAAGCACTGCACGCCTACCAAAATGGATGCAGCCCCCTCCCTGGGCCACCGATGCTTTGGGCCATAGCACAGGGATCAGAGGCTTCCTGTGAGGAGGGAGGAGCACAAGGAGCTCTGTGACCTGAGGCTGGAGAAAGAGGAGGTGCTTGGAAGCAAAAGCTGGAAGAAGGGGCAGGACAAGACCCAGGGGGTGGAAGAGCCTGTGACCATTCCAGCAAGAGAATTCTGGAAGCCATTAGGGAAAGTGGCTGGCTGAGTCCTAAATCTTGGGTTAAGGTGATAAGGAGAGCCAGACTTGGCATGGAGATGACGCCACCCTAGGCTCCAGCTGCTTTGTGGCCTGTGACCCTCCAAGACACTTGAAACACCAGTCCTATCTGGCCCTTCTCCTCTGGTTTGGTTGGCAGGGAGACATCTGTGTAGCCTGACGGTGTCACCAACCACAGAGGCTCTGGCCTGTTTCCAATTCAGGGTTCAGGATCCCTAGGGGATCTGGGCCAGCACTCTGCCTCTGAATCCTGCCGGCAGCTTACAGCCCTTTATCTTTATTTATAACCACAGAGAAAGGTTCCCAGAAGGCAGGGAGCCCCGAGGCATGGGGACACAACTATAAAGCGTACCCTAGGAGGCTCCCTGCAGGAAATCCTTTTGACTGGCAGCAAAGCTGAAAGATGCGGAGTGCAGAGGACCCTAAGGCCCTAGCTCTGTGAGAGACCAGCGGATCACCCTTCTCAGCCTGCACTTCCAGGAGTGGGCATGCTCCCTCCTTTGACACATAAGTGCTCTTTTAAGGTTGTGCCACCAGACCTGAGGGAGCCCCTTATTCTTCTGGGTCAGGCTAGGGTGCAGGCAAGGAAGGGAGAGGAAGCTGAGCCCTGGCTATCCCTGCCTTAGGGGTCCTCAACTGCTGGGGTTGGAGATAGCCATAGCAAGAGACGAGCACTGCGGAGCCTGGGAGGGCAGACGGAGGGACCATACCCCTGGTGTGCAGAGGGCACTCATGGTTCAGCCAAAGGC